GAACAAATTTAACCTTAGTGTAAGAAAATATGATAAAAAAGATTAACAAGGAAAGGCGTCGTTCAATGAACGCAACCCCCATATGACCCAGCAACAAGAACCAGTGGCAAGGAGCCCAGGCGGACCCCAAACAAAACCAGGACAGGGCACAAGTCAGCACGGACAGGTTAATCATTAAATGATAAATAATTTTTAACTTCTTTGTATCTGTTAACAAAGACTTGTGAACCTTTGTGAAACGCAACGTAAGCATAAAGTAACTTCAATACATACCTTGTAAGAAAACGAGCCCGATTAAGTAACGAATCTTGCAGTCTATAGATATATAAAACGCAGACCTTTGCATCGTATAAGCTTTCTCAATAATCAATCCTTGCTACACACTTATACCTTTAAACTGCCAGAAACAACCACGAACTTTTATTAAAGAGTCCATAAAAACTGTTACTTGAGCGGATTAAGATGAACTAATAGCAATATATTAAGACACAATACGATTGCCTTGAGGTAGTTCAAAGGCTTTAAGAATGTAACGACATAATTGAATGCGTGAATGAAAAATTCAGTCGTTTTATATAAATGATAAAACTGTAGAATCAAATAAATATAAATACATGTATTAATATGTTTCTTAACCCCCCCCCCTACCCCCAAAAAAAATAAAATAAAAAAAATAAAAGGAAATCACCATTCAAATGGGAAGGGAAAAAATATCCACTTTTTTATTACACAATTTGGGCGTTTGTATCTGTTAACAAAATTAATTTAGTTTATGGAGAAGAGGATAGAGATGATCGAAAATACGTTGTACTCCTCCACTCACTATCTATATTTCATCATCTCCGTGAAATAAATCATCAAATTCATATCTTATTTTGTATCACTTTTCCGTGATTACACTATCTGTTATTTATCTCTATCAATTTAAATAACAGCTCCGACACAGCAGCTTGACGTATTGATATTCAAAATAAGAAATGGATAAAATGTAATTTGTTCCTTTGACGTTTTTGCTTGTTTAAAATACTTAATTTTACTTGTAAAAGTGTTAAAATGTTTTAATATCAACTTTTTTATTTTGATATATTCGGATAAGACCAACATTATTTTATCAAAAAACAATGTAATTTTGAAGTAAATCTGTAACTTTTTGTATTAGTATTAGATGTTATATAAAATAAATAAAATATAAAAAAATCACGATACATACCCGTGTAATTAACGCTGTTGTTTTTTACTTTCATTTACGGAACATGTCATTATAAATATCACAAATTAACAGAGAAAACTAACCTGTGAAAAGCATTCATAATGATTTACAAAGTACTTTATGTGAGCAAAGTATATTAAGCAATATTGTCTAGATTATATGTTAGTGCAGGTACGTCAATGACATATTTGATCTGCTCATTATTAACTGATGCACAAACCTGTTTCAATTGCAACAAATTTGGCAAAGTAGAAAATACAAAACACAAACAATAACAACAAAGTGAAATGTTATCATGTTATTATTGCTGATTAAAACAGTGTATAGGAGATCTTTTGGCGAAATAAGGTCGAAAATATTTTGTTAGTTTTGGATAACAATAACAACAGGCAGAACTATGAATACGCTTATAACATTCGTTACCGTCTTCATCCTCACAGACAAAGAATTAATAGACTGTAAAAAGGAAGATAACATTGTGCATTATGTGCGACGTCCAGACCACAAAATGGGCGCAGTTTATTGTAACGCTTAATCTATGTGCAAGCATGTTTGGTATATTGTTTAGATTGAATTCTTCTCTTCCGGGAAAGTTTATTAACAATAACATTTTAACAGACTGACTATATCACGCCATATGTTTGTTATCTGTCTGCGACAATCAAACACAAACAAAGGCGATTTTAATATTCAACTTCAATTTATTTACATATGTTGACTACATAAACATGCTAAATAATCAATCACGTTATCAACAAACGTTTCAATACAATCTGCGACAAAGATGTAGGTATCAGTCAGTGCATACTTAGGTGGTTAAGAATTCAAAGAAATTAAAATAAACAATTTTTAATATGTACAATATTATATCATGGATGATAAAATATAAAATACATATTACGTTAAGTTAGAAATGTTATGAATACAATCATGTCTTTATTTTTACCATTAGTGAGTAACAAGAGGGATCTTCAATGCATTTTGTATTTGTACTACATATTCAATGATATGACTTGGCAATGGATTATCTGTATCAACGCTATATACTTCAATGATTTCCCAGGAAATTAGCTTTCCTTCTTCAATAACTGTCGGATATTGCTTATTAAGTTCATCCAACACATTTGATATATTTACAATGCATCGAACACCATATTTCTAATCACAGTGCACGTTGATAAGAAAGAAGATTAATAGAACATGCAGAATGTATATGTTAGGTTAGGGTTAGCAACTATATAAATCAGATGATATGCATTAGTAAATGATTATTATTTCTTTTTCGGAGAAGGTATTTTTGTTGGTGCTATTTGAGGTATCATATATTTCTTTTACTTCAAAATAATGATCTCATGTAAATTAAAAATATCTAAACATCTACGTCAAATGCTATATTCTCATATTGTGTTACCTTGCACAAAACTGTATTTCAAATGAAAAACAATTTAAATTTTTTTTTCATTATCATATTTCACCCTTTTTAGAACAGAATAGAACTTATTCTTTTTCTTATATGTATATATCAAAGCATCATACATATAATAATAATATTAAAAGCACGGACATACTTTTAGAATGTTTATGCTGAAGTCTTGTCTTTTAATTTATAAATGACATTAAAGATTGTTTTAATTGGCATGTTATAATATTTGCATATAGAAATACTTGCAAACATCTAATATAAACTTCTTGCACTTGATAGATTTATCTGAACATGATAAAAATGTCAATAGTTTAAATTATAAAAACGTAATTCCTACATATTTGTGATAATTGATTAGGTTCACAAAAAGTTCAGCGACTGCTTTTAGACTTTGTGTACCGGGAATGTCCAAAACTATGATGTATCAATTTACTGTGTTATAAACCAGGAGTGTAAACCATGCAGTATGTCTATCAGTTTGTAATTATGTATCTAAACCAATTTACATGGTTTAGCATGTTTCGACATCGGTAGTAAATTAATTACAAGTAACCCCAGGTAGTGTGATAAAAATGAATCCATACAGGAAGATATGAAAAGGTTTAATATGCTTTAACAAGGAAGATAAAGATAACACCAGCAGGGCTTGAATCTACATATCTTCCACATTAATGCTTTGTGTAATTCAACTCTTGGTCATAAACGTAGAAAACGATAAAAGGCGCGATAGTAAAATGAGTATTCAGCATTTTCATGTAAGAAGAAGCTGTTACAAAGCAAATTTGAAAATTAAGCAATAAAACACCTGACAGACAACGTTTTTAAACTTTTATAAAAGGCTACTTATATATTTATTGGTGTACTTTTATTGTATCTAAAATGTTATTCATTGACCAATTATCTGGACCATATTTTTGTCATCTACTTTGGTAACAAGCATCTAACCTTCTCAACCATTACAAAATTCATTTTTGTCCTTTCGAAAGAAGTAAAAATTAATTTGTTTCTGAGGAATAATGTGCTTCTAATAAAAAGAGGCATAATGTGCCTTTAAATCGCAACAATTTTTCAAAATATTTGTATACAGATGAATATATATATTTGAATTTTTACAACTGACATTTATCTTAAAAATGCTAGATGAGAGACATTCATTGAATGACGTTATCAAACTGTATGCCGAGAGTTGTCAGTGACATTTCGTACTGAAAAATTAGCAAAATTCAGATATTATCAAACTATTTCACGTAAATCAATTTCGCAAGTAAACTATGCAGGTTTTGTCTCAATATCTTTTAAGGAAGACAACAACTTATTTTTTCCAAAGTATTGAAACATTACAAGACTGAACAATTGCTTTTGATTTGAATGATACCGATTGATTTTCATATTACTCATCGAAGGAAGTTTAGAAAGTCTAGGCAAAAATAAATATTCAAGTAAAATTGAATTTGAAGCCACATTCTTGCATTATCATATGTAAGAGAAATACATTGTATTAGTCTTTTAAACTAGCTTTTCTTGGTTATTGCATTGAGGGTTTGTCGGCTGGCAGGCGTAAACAATATCTTCCATTCGCATCTCCTATATTTGCAAGGATTTTTGTCCAAAATTTTACAGAAGCCGTGTCCTGAAGGCGCATATTGTCTGACCTCTATGTGGCCCAATATGTTTATTGGTCGATAACAAGAGTTGAAAATGAGACCTTTCAACCAAATTTCAAATAATAAGTATAGTTAGAAATGCGATAGCTCAAATAATGGTGTATATAGAAGCTTATGTGAAAACCGCTCTTGAGATTGCAGTTGGGCCAGCTATGGTAAGTGTAACTGTTACTAAAAATAGGAAAATTGATTCAGGTCGATAACAAGAATTTATTGTTTATAATTTTACGCAATAAAATAGATAGAATTAGCATTTCAGAACTGTAGAACTATGAAAGAAAGATACAAAATACAAGATAAAATCTATCTATTCTATGTGTTAAAAAAATCAAAATGCCATAATCCCACTAAAACAATTTAACTGGAAATTGCTCACAATATGCACCATTGCAATTGATGACAAAGCCGTCAACATTAAAGTTGCATTAAATGGTTCTTGCTTATTTATTTTAACTGCAAATACATTACTAGAAGTTCAGGCATGTACAATATTGTTTGGTATCATGTTATGAAGATATCTCCTGAAAATTAAAAAAAAATATCAATCATAAATAAATTTCGAAGTGCAGTCGTCGACAGGGGAAATTTAAAATACAAATTTATAACATTATAATAACTATTGTCAATTTTTTTTTTGAAATGCTTTGTAGTACAACATTCACGAATTGTTCTAACGGGAAATAATAATGTGCTTTTTATATAATATATAGAGGCGGAAAAATGAATTGTAAATGTATCTTCTCTAGTAAACAAAACATAAAAGTAAATGTGTTTATTTGCAAATGTAACATAACAGTAGAATAAATGCATATACAAATTGAATTGGACAAATCAAGTTAGTTATCAGGTTTGTTAAGAGCGGATAATTCATCGAGTTTTACTCCCGTGCCGTATGTTTCCTTCATTGTTGTTAAAGTAGTCAGCTCTCTGTCAGTGTTTGAAACATTCACGTATAAATTTCTACATAAACAATTCTTAGCCATTTTTAAAAGAAGTGTTCGAAATTTTTTCCCCACGGCTGTGTAGATGAGAAAATTTAAAGACGAATTTAACACAAATAATGTGTTACTTACACATGTCCATTTCATTAAAAACACTGTATCTAGAAAATGAAATTGTGCCACTAATCCAGGAGTTTGACAAATAATGAACACCACTACAATTATAACAAGCACTATACTCATATTAAACTCTGTGTTTTCTTTTGTGTTCGTCAAACATCTTCTTTGACGCATGCGCATCAATTCAAGAATAAGTAAAACATTTAAGATTCCTAGAATAAGAAGGGGTATTACATATATAAGAATTGTATATAGCCATCCACTATAAATTACTGTATAAAAATATGATTGACCAAATTCTGTTGTTATAATCATAAAACAATTATTTCCACATACAGTATATCCCGTGGCAAAACATCTTGGAATGTTATAAGCGGTCGAAAAAACAGTTGTAACGCCAATAATGATATATGCGTTACGTTTGTTACATATATTTATAGATTTAAATGGAAAACAGATTGCTATGTAACGTTCAACTGACACTGCTACAGTTGCCCAAACATTTAATGTTTGTAGAGCCATCACAAAGTAGTTTGTAGGAGTGAAGATATGCGGGTAAATGACGTGATTAAACAACCATTCATGTTGATTGAGTTGAGTTATAGAGATCACAGAAACTCCCATTATTGCACCAATTATAATTCCCGTATCTGTGATGACTAACGTCCGCAAGAAATATACCGTCGTAGATCGCATTTCTCGACGGAATAAAATAATTCCAGTAAGTATGTTCCCTACAAGACCAATGACTCCGATAATAGGTATAATAACTCCCCAGAAAATAAACATTAACTGTAACATGCCGTCCATTCCATTATCTTGAATCTGATCTTCCCCATAAGTCAGATTTACTTTTAAATTTAACTCTTTCACCTTCATCGTTATTTGAAGGAAACTGTCTTCCCCATCAGCTAAAGTTTTATCCTGTTCATGTGACATGTTTATGTCCTCTCTCTTTACATGATATAGCCCTGTCTATATGTTTACTGCTTGTAACCTGAAAATATGAAAACATAATTTGTATATGCTTTATAAACTAGTTTTACTTATTGCTCACATCCATGTGATATATAATATTTATGAGTAATAAGTCCAATGTCAAAACTGTTGAAGTGGATATATTTATGTAATACATTTAATGTCTAGAAAGTCGTCACTTCACTAGAAACAAAATGATCGTTACATGAATTAAATTGTTACATATATCTAGCTTTACTTTTGTTAGTGACAGTGTAAATTCAACTTTATTTTTGGATTGATTATTAACGTAGTTAATTCGTCGGTATTTGCTCTGTGCCCCTCTGAGTAGAGTACCACTAAAGTTGTCTTATGGCACCAAACTGCGTACAGTCTACCCCCATCATATTTCTCAAAAGCAAAAAAACAACAACAAAAAAGGGAAAACATCATGCACTTTTAAGGTATGTATCTGATTTCCTTTAAAAGCTTGAAAATACATCAAAACACAGCATTTGTATACATTTACACATTTGACGGTGCACCAACCCAACTTAAATATGCCTTATAATTTGTTTTTACGTTTGTTCTGTTTTTGTTTGTTTCTTTAATCTTGGGAGGGGGTGGTGTTTGTGTTTTACGTCGCACAAGCACAGTAAAGATCATTTGGCGACTTTCTAGCTTGTTGAAGAAGACCTCATTCACCTAAGGTCTCATCCCGATAGGGAATAAGAGGCAACCAACCTGGTCAAGAAAGTAAAGAAAGTAGTTCTTTTAAATTTTGAAGTGGCCCAATTGGAAAGTAGATCGCTAACATATTATATTTCTGTCCTCATTTGACTTAGATAGTGTTGATGTTTAAAGTTGAAGACAATATATAGTTCACCAAGAACAATGGAATCCATAATTAAGCCTCAAATGTGTATATTTTACAATGGAACAAGGACTACGAAACTTCAACCGGCCGAGACCATAAGTAGAACTACCGACGTTTCGTAAGCTAGCTTTCTCACATGAAAAAATCCAAAGTCCTTGTCCGGATTCACCCACGGCGGTGAGGAGCAGGTGGTGAACGAACTAATCCACTCGGCAACGGATGATATTTAAAATCCTAAAATAAGCATTTTTTCTGACATGAAAAGCAAATTCATTTTCCTATTGTATGCAAAACCATATTCTATCATTCTATCTTTCCTTTTGTGGACAGCTTATTTCAAACCTTAATTGAACGATGAATTAATAAATCAATAGACTTAGCAGCGTAAGACAAAATCTCTGTTTGAATTTGAATAAAAATATTGTTAAAATAAGTGATTTAGGTGTTTGATGTGTAAAGGTGATGAATTATAAGAGAAGGATAAAATATGTACAACAACAACAGCAGCAACATCAACAACAACAACAACAACAATTCTGTCTCAAACAAATGCTTCTAAAAATAAATTATCGTTGTCTTAATGAGCAAAAGGAAACTAATATTCTAAAACCTCTAGTTACATTACAATGTAGCCACTGTCAGTACTACATAGCAAAAGAGTGTTTTGATTTAATGAGAGACTACAGTTTATGTTAAGTCTTGTAGAGCAATTAGATACATGTACCAATGTTTTAAGATTCAATTGTATGGAAAACTATGCAAACAGAAAAAAAATTAATAATACTTTAATAAGTATCAATATCTTTATCTGTTTATGACTTCTACACATCTCAAACAATACAAAATAAATTCTTCTTATGAGTCAATTACCCTTTAAACCATTCTCAAATTTAAACAAACTAACATAACTTTTATCTAAACATTTAATTCAGCACCTTAATCTGTCAGTTGATATATCATATAGAAAAGCACAATATACAATCATGTATAAGATATTGGTATTACATTGTATGAAAATATTGCCATTGATTCTGTTATATTTATCAATTCTGTTGATTTTTGCTTAATAAATTAACAGACAAACACCTTGATGATATCATATCGGGAAAACCGTTTAGGATCAAGCCGAGTTAATTGATATGCTTGTTGTTTATTTTTGCATTACCGATAAGTAGATACTTTCCATTATTGATAAACTTTAAATTTCCCAATTGTGACTGTAACCTTTGTCTATAAGCACATGATCTTAAAACATACAGTTGATTGGTTATACAGCATAAAACCATAACCATTCCTACATAATTAAACTGCTGAAGTAACATCCCTTCAACTATGACGTCATTTGTACACAGCACCGCTGTACAAAACATGGCTAAAACTATTGGAATAAGATCAGCCAAATCTAATGTGAAATATGGTCAACTTTTCACTGGCCAATTTTCAAGACGCTACACAAAAGTTCGCAACGTGTCGTGTCATTTTCTACCTTAAGCAGAATTGAACATTTAATCATGCCAATGGTGAAATTTTTGAATTTAGAAACATCCATAGAAATGCCAAACGGCGGTGAAAATGGAACTTTCAATATGCTATATTACGTGAATGGTTCCCAAACAAACAAACAAACAGACAAAAGGCATACAAACTTACAAAAACAGAAAAAATATACTTATAATTGCAAACAAAAATCATACAAAAATAATTGATTCCTTAACATCATGTACTGTATATGATATTTATATTTTTTGTTGAACGAAACTTCTGTTAATACAGTTATAATTCTCTCAATGTCAGATGAACATAGCTACGTTTATTTATAACTTTTCTTTCCATATAATTGACAGGTTTTTCGTTTTGACTTAACCTGACCATGCTTTCAAAACAAGATAAGTACAGTTCATATGAGAGTCAAACGCCAAGATCTTCTCTTTACATCCTGCAATTAACATAACTAATTAAATAGTATCTCTATATTTGCAGCACCTGTACCTTTAACCATAAATTAATTAATTACAATTTAATACAACCTTAATGACTAACCTGTAAATGTATCCTGTAAGCATTTGCTTTAATGTCCAATGCTTAGGTAAAGCATTATTTCAATACAAAATACAAAACTAAACTTTAAATCTTTATTTATTTATTATTCATTTTAAGTGTGTCAAACGAAAAATGTTCTATGTTATATTTTGTTACACTCATTTAAGCACTTAATAATTCTAGCAATAATTAAATTTATATGGTACAATAGTTTCTTGTCGTGAGTAATCAAGGAATGCCAGCCAGCGCTCACATACATTTCAATTTATACCACTACAGTTAGAGACAAGGAGCTGGGAATGTCGGTATTTAATTATTTACTATACCTCATCTTATTAAGCATGAAATTGTCTATTTTATCAATCTATTTTGGGTATTTTTTCTTTAAGTACCAGTCGCTTTGTAAAACCAATAGAAGTGATGCCAATAATACGTCTAGTAAAACTAGATAATAGATTATCTTAAATAAAGCTTGCGCTTACCATTGATTTCTCAAAGAAGCTATCAGTACTAATAACCAAACAATTCACCAATGCAAATCAATTTGATACAAAAGGTTGCAGAAAAAAAGTCTGACAGTCACAGAGTAACGTTTGGTAGCGTAATTATTTTATAGACTCAGGGGGTTTATATCAGTGCAATAAAACTAAGTCCTTGCAAAGGTAGAGGCAAATTATATTTAGGTATAGATAGTAAAATCTTTTTTTACAGTTTTATATTCATTTAAAAGTCAAACATACAGGATCTCATGACTGACATGTCTTTAGAGAAAGACATCATAAACAAATATCCGGACAGTGAATAAAGTATGAAGAATAGTTGATATCTGGAAATGTTGGTTTTTACCAGTACAAACAGACTTTTACCGTTATATTATTTAGATAAAAGAGATTTTTCCAAAGTTTTAAAGATATGATATTTAGCTGTTAATAACACAGAAATAAGACTGATATTATCCTACAATAAAATTGAATATATCTTATTTTATTATTCTTTTAATATTAATTAAGAATATCAATAACGCATGAACAATGTTGTGTGTGTTTAAAAATTACCACGCCACGATCATTTATATCAATATATCAGTAGCGTTTCACATCTCTTTAACTTATATTTTAGAAATGACATTTTCTTAAAAAAATTAACACAAACGCCTTGCAATATGTTAGGCATGAAATAGTTGTATATTTGTACTGCAATTATTAAATCTATATATTCAGTGAAATATTCGTCTGATTCCTGCCGTCAGCAGATAAGTTTGTTTGATATAAATCAATGACCTTTGTATCTTAGACACTTTAACAATGATTGATTCATGCCACTCGCAAATATCTTAAAAACAGCTCGATACAGCCAAGTTTATTCATCAGATTACCACATGTATGAAAAATTAATTTGATGTGTACTAGCAAATGTAAAACCCAGTTTTCCTATATGTAATGAAATAATATAAAAACAAACTTTAATTAACAAAGATATTTTAATATTACTGCGTGATAAATACTGAAATACACATGAGAAGAGGATACTAGTATAATGGTACATATATTCGCCCATTCTTTGTTACTTAAATTTAAACAGATTGAACCAATATATATTCAAGGTTATCATTTGGTCTTAAATATGAAATTTAACATACCTTAAAATATATTCACAAAAATTTGCATTACTTTAAAATAATTATATATATCCAAGCAACATAAATTGTGGTATTTGTATCCGTAAAATAAAACTTGTTTACAATAATGCGGATGTTTCCAACAGAGAAAGTTGAAAATCTGAAACGTTATATAGCATTCCGCTGTATAAATATAATCTCTATGCACTCAGCCAACACGACCGTATCACATTTCCTATATCTCTACTGTCAATACAAATATTTAGTGTTTATTACTATAACTTTTTAAGACACTTGTAACAAAAATTCATGTTGTGTTTTTCAAAATAAATAAATCTAAACAATAATCATAAGATAAATTTACATTAATTCTAAATATTTAGAAATGTTAACAGATTACAGAAATTATTTATATTCTACAGCCGTCAAACGTTGCATTAGGTTTTAAAGAAAGTATAAATTGACGAAAAACACAATATATCTTTGTAAGTGCCATTTATTAAGG